AGCAAGTTCAGAGAAGTGGATAGCATCTATACTGATCTACACGAAATGGTAAAGTGGCTCAATGAATTCAAATCTTTCATTCCAGAAAACGTTTTCAATCAATTAAGATCTATGGGATTGAATGAAGAAGGAGGAAATAAGGAAGCATCAACGGAAGATAAGAAAGCAAGATCATCAGTGGATAGAAGAGATGAAAGTGGTTCACTGGCTTCATCAGAGCAAAACTCCAAAAATTCAATGCATTCTAACTTCTCAAAACAAAGTAAGAACAGTATGAAATTGGATGCAGGAGGATTATTCAAGTTGGGCCTTTCACTGCATAAGGAAGTTTCTGTATTGAATTTGAAACTCTATGGTTTCAGTAAGACTCACTCCCCAAGTGAAATAACTTCCTTATTTGGTAAGATTGCTTCTGGATTGTCAACTCTGGCTAAAACCATGCAAGTAACAGATTTACAAATTGTTTCTGTCGAAGAATTCCAATTAACATTTGTGGACAATAAGAAAAAGTCAAATATCGCAGCCATGGAATCTGCCCTCAAAATTTGCAAAGTTTTGGATAATTTGCATGGCAAGTCAGGAAAGAACATTTCATATGCAATTGGTATTTCTAGTGGAGCCGCAAATATTGGAAATTTGGGTAATAACTCATTGAGATGCTATTCCATTGTAGGTCCACTCACTTGTAATGCAAAGAATATTGGACTTTTTGCTAAAAATTCTGGTTGTAAAGTATTGGCAGATGACCAATCAATTACAGATGCCAGTTCCTTGTTTGTTACAAGACCTGTTGATAGATTCGAATTGGAAGGCAAGCAAGTGACATCTCTTCATGAAATCATCAAGGAAAATGTTGTTGAATGTGATGAATGGTTATATGAAGTTGAGCAACACAAGGCAAACCAAAGGTTCAAAGACTTCCAAAGTGCATTCACCATTTTCGGACAAGAGAGTTTGACTTTGGATGAGGTCAACAAGTCCTTAAATATTTTGAATGGATATTTAACTAATAATCCTGATGATAAGGTGGCTCGTAGATTGGTCAACTCTTTGGATAATATGTTAAATATTTCTAATGGCAATGAGAATATTTCAGAGTCTGTCAAACATTATAGATCCAAATTTAGTACTTCATTGAATAATGTGAGCGTGGAGAATGAGAGAGAAAAGGTATTATCTTCAGAAATAATTGAATAATTCAGTAAATAAATGTATATAATTAGTAAATTCTAATATCATTCTTCAATTTGTTAACAATACAAAATAATTAACTGAAATAGATTCTATATTAATATTTCAAAAATAAATTATTTGAATACAAGTACACGAATATTCCACGAATCCACAACAAACAATTCTCCACTCTTCTCATCAAGACAAACCGTAGTTGGGTAATTCAGTAAGTTTGGATCCTTTGAGCTCTTACACACACCAAAAGTACCAAATGTTGTGAGCAATTCACCATTTTCCTTGTAAATTGAAATTCTCTGATTTTCTTGGTCGCAAACAATTATTTGTTCTCTAACTCTATCAAAAAGTAATCCACTAGGACACTTTAGTGTACCTTCCTTACTTCCAAATTTGATTTTTGAAATCCATTCACCACTATTGGAATCGAGGTAAAGAATTTGTACTCTATTGAAATACTTCTCGCTTACTATCAAGTCACCATAATTATTTAGAGCAATACCGAATGGCTCTCCAAAGTAAATACCATCCAATTTGCTGATGGCCCTCAATATTTGACCAGTCTCTGAGTTTAGTAATGTTACATTATGTTTAGTATTGTCACAAACAAATATAGTGTTAAAACTGGATTGCTTTTCATAGCGAATTGTAATTCCTCTAGGCGTTCCGAAATCTCCTTGTTTCCAAACGAACGGTGGCATCCGTTCCTTATTGATACTTTTTATCACCACACTCTCTAAATTATTCCACTTATATATCACTCGATTCTTACAGGAACTGACAATGAGTGAATCGTCATCACGTTCAGATTTTCCACTCTCAATACACAAGCATCCAGGATCAAATAATGTTGTTAGTTTAGTCTTTAGTTTCTTACTCTCCAGATCAAAGATACTAATATTATTCGAGTATTGGTCACTAATTAAAATACATTTACACTTGTGTGAGATGGCAACACCATAAGGCCAATTATATGGCCCGTGACCTGTTGTGACTACTTCTCCCAAATCCATCAAGGTATGTACATGTATAAATTGATTGGAAAATCCAACATTTCTTGTCCTCATCTTGCTAACAAGTTTTTCAAAAACATCAACTTCAATATTATTACTAAAATCTATTAGAGTGATGGTCACTCCCTCCTGTTCTTCCTCACTAATTATTTCTCCTACTATACATTTGTTATTGTTATTATTATTATTGTATTTAATTAGTAATGATGAATCTAGGGTGATGAATCCTTTAGAAATCTCTTCATGATGATGAGATGAATTATTATTCCGATAATGACATTCTGCATCGAACGCCTTCAAATCTTGCAATCTTTCCTGTTGTTTTGTCTTGGTGGGTTGTGATGACGTTTCCTTCTCTGCATTCTCGCACGAATAATAGATTGCTTCATTCAAAGACATTTTAATGAAATGATTTTTTTAAATGATTTTTGTTACTGGATTTTGGCGGGATTCAATCTGATAATAAATATGGTGTTTGTTATCTCACA